TTTTTTTCACAAGAGTTCTCTTTAGACATTTTCAATTTCAATTTCAATTCATTCATGTTTCCAACAAAACATAACAAATCAATTATAAGCATTTACAACAAATCTAGAAATACATGTTGGAAACAGAGGGGTCCACTAAAGGAGGAGTGGGTTTTCATTTCTCATACTCAAATTCTGACAATCATAACTGTTATCTTGGTATAAATTAGCGAGAAATCGTGGTTAACATATATGTATTTGGCATCTGTGATACTGCTGACCAAGGGTGGTAGGGTGATTGATAGGGCATATGGTTCATGCAAAGGATTGTTGTAAGGACTATGGTGCAATAGCTTATCCATCTTACACTGCATGATTGCCATAATTCTTATGGTTTTATTATTTCTTACACTCTTTTGGAACTTCCTAGTTTTACTAGTTTGTGATGAAAACAAAATGTACATGTTAAATGTTTTGAATCTCTGACTTAAAGGGATTGGGTAACTTTGTCTCAGATTCTGAAACAAAATCCTGGATTTAGCTCATGCTGCAATGATAATTATAAACCTTTAGGTCTTTTACACGACTTTTACAAGCCGATCACCTGTCTGATTATCAAGATATTTATGATTGGAAATCAAAATGTAAAAAATGTTTTCCTAACGTTTTTATAACACTACAGTCTTTTGGGGAAAATGAGTATGGTAAAACCGGTCACTCAAAGATTTATTACTTTTTTGAGGCACTTCGTTATCATTTTGAAATGCAATTTTTTTAGGGCTTCAATATTACACCATATCATAGACACTGAATAACACGTAGGGCCACACATCTCAGATTTAACATTGATAAATGATTACTTACCACTCTTCCCCATCGTGTAAACACAGCATACTCCGAGTAAGATTCCAAGAGTTGTATCAGGTAGAACTTGTTGTTGTTGTGGCCTATATTTGTTTGGTTCAGCATACAGTCATAGTCGTCCACCTGTTCATGTAAAAAAAAAAACTACTGTTAAGAAGGAACCTTCATGTAGAAAATACAAGCACATGGACCCAAATCATATCATATTGCATAATGAAAACTTAAACCTAATTTAGTCTTGATGCCTATGTTTAATCTCTTAATTACTGAATCCATGTACAGGCATAGCTTTACAATTGTTCCATTAATTTTTTTATTTTTTTTAACATTACAAAAACATTGACACTGTTTTAGCAAGAACTCCTTGGTTTTAGTAAAAAATCACAGGAAATCCATATTCATGGACTTCTTGATCAAAAGTGAGATAATTCAGGCATCTCACTGTTCAAATATGGATATGGGTGGGCTTTGGGCACCCCACTGTTCAAATATGATGATATTTGTGCACCTCGCTGGGGGGGGGGGGGAGGGGCTGCATCCCCCTAGCCCCTCCCCTACTTCAAGGCTTATGAATCCATCATTCTGCTGGGCTTCATACAGGAGCCATCTAGTCCTCGTATGCAATGGGATAAACTGGAAGTCATCCGAGCTTGAACAGAAACTCTGGTTGAATGTCTTAAAGGTATAAACCAGTTTTGGAAACGCCCCCCTCCCCCCTCTCACACAAAAAGGAAATGGAAGCTCTTATTTCCAATCATGGTAAAGAATATGTTTCAACTAATATGTGGTGATACATGCCTATTAATTGATAAATTTGGTAAATTATCATATCGATCCGGTCTGGATAGTTATCGCGTAGTATATACATCTTTCTGTGTATAGTGCTTGTAACTTTACCAAAACTGGGCAAAATTTCTTATCATTTTGATGATTCCAGAACATTGCAGTACACACCAATACTTATATGCTAGATGATCAACCTTTTCTGATCGATTCCAACGTTTCTTTCACAATGCAATAGCATGACCAGAACTGGTCTATACCTTAAGAACAGTGTACAGACCATTCTCTTATATATCCTGTCTACTTGATTGATCCACCGAATCACTTCCTTATCTATTAAAACAAATCATCACAACTAATGCTTATGTATCTGCATTGTCTTGTGAATGTCATCAAGGAAGAGAGCACTTGGGAAATTATCATCACTATTTTTTTTCTTCTCTACTTTATGCTTGAATTTTGTCCAGATAGTAGGAAGATGATCTTCACAGGCAGAAGCATGAATGAACACATATGTACCAGAAATTCTCTCTTTATTTTCCCCCTTTAAAATGTAGTACGTGTATGAACAACTTACCACTGTACCAGGCCAGCTGCACAGGCTATCCTTAGTATGAGTAACTTTCTTTCCTTTGTCTGCTGTCTTCAGTTTCTCAACAGCAGCCTTCAGACCTCCATCATCTGGTTCTTTCTTCACCGCTTTAGCCCCCTTCCCGCCAGCCTTAGTGCTCGCTGCTCGCTTCTTTGGAGGCATGGTCAATGATACAGTTGTGTTACTTGAGAAGTCAGAAGAGTTATAAATTTGCCTTTACTTTAGAGGGATCCACAGTCCACTGCAAGAAAATTACAAAGACAATGCTATTAAAAGTGCTTCATGATCATTCATTTGAAAACAAATTGGACTAACATGTCAAACGAAAGTGTTCGAGTTATTCTTCTTCTTCTACTTTACGTGCCATGTCCTGAGATATTGGCGACCATGGAATGCCACAACTTTCTGTCCCATATTCTATAAAGTAATTCATTCTCCCTGAGATCGATTCCAGTTTCAGAAATCCCACTCCTTAAGCTACTCATCCACAGAATCCTCCTTCTACCCATACTCCTCCTCCCTTCTATTCTTCCAGACAATGCAAGATTTTCCAAACCATTCTTTCAAATAACATGACCCAAGAAGCTCAGCTGTCAACCTCTTAATCTTATATCATTCAGAAGCTTTTGTCTTGTTCCTGCCATGGCAAATACCTCATTATTAGAAACTCTTTCTGTCCATGAATTCTAAGCATCCTTCTCAGGAACCAAACTTCACAACTTTCCAGTTGCTTTCTTAGGTAGGTCCAAGCTTCACATCCATACATCAGAACTGGATACACATAGCAATTGAGTACGCGAAGTTTCGTCTTCATCTTCAGCTTCTTAATCTTTAAGATGTTTTCTAACTTGGAGAAAGTTGATTTTGCAAGTGCAATCCTTCTCTTGATTTCTTGCTTGCCTCTTGCATCGTCTGTAATTGTAGTCCCGAGGTAATTAACAGAGGTGGCTTGTTTAATTTGATTGTTGTTGATCTTAAGAGAGCATGGTATTCATCCCTTTTTTGAAATTACCATGCATTCTGTTTTCTTGTAATTTAGTGATAATCCTCTCGTCACTATAAATTTCTCTGACGACAACATCCAAAAGTCGCTGCAAGTCCTTCTCTGATTCTGCGATTTATACCGCATGTTTGTTTGTAATAATAATAATAATAATATACATAACATTTATTAGGCGCTTAATACTGATGTTTCTAAGCGCACAGTGTTCTGATTAAGAGAAGACTATAACCCGTAGAATTAAATTAGAAGAAAAAGCAAAAATACAAAAGTAACATAGATAAGGTAAGAAAAACAGTGGCAATCAACTAAATAAAGACAAATATGGTGCGCACCTCCATTGACCGACGCACAACTGCAATTTACAATTTGAAAAGATAGGTTTTGAGTAGAGATTTGAATTGAGATACAGAGGGGGCGCAGTGAATAAAGGCGGGCAGTTTGTTCCAGAGAGCGGGGGCAATAACTGAAAAGGCGCGGTCACCATACCGGGTGTTAGTGCGGGGTCCAGGTGTTAACAGTAATGTGGAAGATGAACGAAGTGTTCGTGACGACGTACGGGAACGTAAGGATATGAGATCGGAAAGGTAAGAGGGGGCTAAGCCATTGATAGCTTTGTAGCACAGGAGAAGAATTTTGAAGGATATGCGGTGGTGAATTTTAAGCCAATGTAGTGAGTTCAATATTGGAGTTATGTGCTCTGATTTACGCGAGAGAGTCACAAGCCGAGCAGCGCTATTCTGTACCCTTTGAAGTGGGACTAGATGTGACTGAGGGAGGCCAGAAAGAGAAGAATTACAGTAATCGATATGGGTCGAGACAAAAGCATGGACTAATTTTGAAGTTGTGGGTCGGTCAAGTAGCCTCCTGATTCTACTGATCTTATATATACCAAAGGAAGCAGACTTACAAATATTACTAATGTGTTGTTTGAAAGTAAGATTGCTGTCAATATTTAAACCAAGGTCACGCACAGAAGCACAACAACTGAGAGAGCCATCACTCATAACAAGATCAGGAAAGGGGTCTGAGTTCCGAAATTTAGAAGTAATATGAATCATTTCAGATTTTGAATCATTAAGGCAGAGACAGTTTTGAAAAGACCAGGTTTTGATTTCATTGAGGCAACTGGTGAGTTTGTTCGCGGCTACTGTCCTGCTGTTTGGGTGAAGAGTTACATAAATCTGGGTGTCGTCTGCATACATAGTGTGTTGAATATTCTGATAAAGGTTAATAACATTTGAGAGAGGGCTGGTGTAAAGAACAAACAGGAGGGGGCCGACCACGGAACCCTGAGGAACGCCGCAGATGAGGGGAAATGATTCCGAGTTGGTGTCATTGATGATCACCTTCTGAGTTCGGTGCATGAGATAGGAGCGAATCCATTGAAGTACGGTGCCGGTGATGGAGAAGTCGTTCTCTAAGCGATGGAGTAACAGGTCGTGGTTGATAGTGTCAAATGCGGCAGTGTAATCAAGCAAGATGAGGACAGCTTCATTACCCTTATCTACAGCTAGAAGTAGGTCATTTAGGACCTTGACAGTTGCAGTCTCAGTAGAATGATGATTCCGATAGGCAGATTGGTGGATTGGAAACAAACCGAGATTGTCAATGTGGGCTTTCAGCTGTAGTGACACAATACGTTCCAAAACCTTCCCAAGGAATGGCAGTTTTGCGATGGGCCTGTAGTTCTTAAGTCCATTCGTGTCGAGACTCGGCTTCTTTAGGAGGGGAAGAAGCAGAGAAGTTTTAAAAGACTCTGGAACTATTCCGGATGATAACGAGAGATTGAACAGTTTGGTTATGTGAGGAAGGAGTTCATCGAGGACTTCCTTTAGAAGCCAGGTAGGAATCGGATCTAGCTTACAGTGTTTAGAAGGAAGTGAAGTGATGAGCTTCCTGACTTGTGAGAGGGATACAAGGCAGAAATCAGAGAGTTCATGACGAGGGCCTGGAGCAAAAGATCTTGAAGCTGGTGCTGGTACTACATTAGGGAAAGAGGATACAACTTTGGCGACTTTTTCCCTGAAGAATGTAGCAAATCTGTTGGCGAGTTCACTATCAGAAGAATGATCTGGAAGAGGTGAAGATTGAGTGGGCGTTGAGAGTGTCTTCACAAGACGAAACAGTTCTTTAGTGTCAGCATTCTTGATGAGATCTTTGAGATACGCAGACTTCGCATTGAAGATGCACTCATAATATGACTCGCATTCACGGCGATACAAGCTCTCTATCAACAAAAAGTTTCCTCCTATACCTCCTGTTCATGTTATTACATGTGTGGAATTTCTCGTTCACCTCAATTACGCGCAGAGTGCATGCTATCTGTCGCTCCGCCCCTACCCAAAACACACACATGTGCAATTTTAGTAAATATTGAAGATGATCGGCATATACAATAGCCATATCTACAAGTTGTAGGCCTAGTGCAACACATACAATTGTATTACAATTCAAATGTCAAGTTTTCAACAGCAACAACAAAATAGTATTGGTGACCGTTTCGATTTTGAGTCTAGTTCTATAGATCTCATGTATTTGTACCTGTACTAGTCGTAGGAGTAGTGATATGAACCTGATTGAACAGGCAGATACTCACATGTAAAGTAGTTGAGGATTAGCAGCTAAAATTACTTCCAATTCCAGGGCTGCAACCGCAATAATATTACAATGATTTGAACAACAGCAGGCACTGTGTACAGCTCACGTACAGCAGTCAATGGTAGTCAGCTCGAAGCCCGAAGTGAACATTGGACCTGGCAGTTTGTCTCCGCTCAATAAATAGCGTAGCGACGTGTTCGATCGTAACTCGTGGAGCGAGCAAGCCAGGACTTGGCCGATGCGACAATGACGAAAAAGGGCAATGAGGAAACATGCACACACATGTAGACCGAAACTGTGACGTCATGGTAAACAAAATGTAAGTGATAGTCTGCTTTTCCAGACCAAGCTAGGTTACTATCACAACAAATATGTAAAGTTGGACACATGACTTCCAATATTGTTGAAAGTGGAAGAGATAACTCCAAACATGTTACAATAAGGAATCATAAAACTATATTTTAAAATAATTTGGAGCATGATTTTGATTCATTTTAACACTAATCTGTCTGAAATCTACTCTATTTGTGATGGGCGTGGCAGGAGGACAAACCTCTTTGCTCTCTCTCTTTCTCTCTCTCTCTCTCCTCTCTCTCTCTCTCTCTCCTCTCTCTCTCTCTCTCTCTCTCTCTGTCTGCCTGTCTATCTATCCCTCTCTTCCTACCTTGCTCACTCTATCAGGTATGCTTATTTGAATTAGTATTATCATTATCATAATCATCGTTTTATTATTATTATTATTATGATTATTATTATTATTATTATTATTATTATTATTATTATTATTATTATTATTATATTATTATTATTATTATTATTATTATTATTATTCTAGGCCTATATAGTTATCAATATCATTTATTGTTAAATTATTATTATTATGAATTTGGCGTCACCTGCATGTGCCTGGGAGGGGAAAATAGATTAAATCTTGTGACTGTTGTTATTGTCGTTATTGATATTACTATTTAATTATTATCATTATCATTATCATTATCATTATCATAATGATTGTTATCATTATCATAATGATTGTATCATTATCATAATGATTGTTATCATTATCATTATTATTAATGACATCATTATAGTTCTCAATATCAATTAATTTTTATTTTTTATTAGATATTTGGCGTCACCTGTGCGTGGGAGGGAAAAAGTGGATTGAATCATTGTGACCATCCATCCTATCCTCTCGGTATAACTTACTTGGGGTGTGGACAACCATGCACATCGGGTTTTCCTCTACTCTCTCTCCTCTAAAAGGGGCCCTCATTTAACGACCTATCCGAGGGACATAGTCAGCGTTTTCTACTGTAACAACCTATAGCCTGTGATTATATAATTTCTTTCTATAACCGAATATTATTTACTCACTGACAACATGTGAAGCTGTATGTAGGCCTAAGTAAGGTTTTGTATAATTATGTCTTATTAGAAGGGTTTAACTTTTTCGATTTAATTTCGAACTAACAATTTATTTCTTTTTCGTAAACACTTGTGCCTTGATTTGTTTGTCTGATAATTTCATTAGATTGTTCCATAAATAATGTGCTTTTTCGATGCAATCAAATGCCCAAATGGTCGGAAAGAGAACCATCAAAAGTACTGTATTGTCACTGATAAGGCTAACTGGTAAATAAAAAACATAATAGTAATTATTATAGCAAGATGAACATGAATCAGACTATAAAAAGCGACAGCGCCAGCATGAGGCAAAGACGTTGTAGTGTTTGATAAATCAATCGCAAATGTCTTGATAGTGCATTATGATGATGTGTGTCATTGTCATACCCTGATGTTCTCTTGACCAGACCGAGCAAGAAAATTTTACATTTTTCAGTTTTCAGTTTTGTATTTCAGGTGCACTTTCGATCACACATGCCAATCAAAGTCTATTTACTCCTTCTCCGTCTATTATTGGGATAAGCAGCGTTAAAGCATCCTTACGAACTTTGTCCAAATTACGGGGGAAAAAATCTCTTAAATAATATATAATTTCTAAGGTTTATACATCTTCTTAGTTTACAAAATCTTCTTTTTTAATTACTTCAAGTGTAAAAAGTGTGCTTCTTCACTACATAAAACTTTTCCTTCTTAATTTTGGGGGGGAATTGGTACAATCAGGCGCGTACGCAGGATTTTTGGGGGGGTTTTAACATTTATAAATCGGTCCGAAATTTCGCAACGACTCAAGCCGCTGATAAGCTGGTAAGAGGACACATTTTTTTGGTCCCAAAAAAATCGCAACGACTCAGGAGCTGAATAAGTGTTAACACTTTTGGTCTCGAATTTGGAAATTTGACATTTTGCTCCGTTGAATCACCTTTTTTAGGTCGGCCATGGGAATTAATAATTTAAAAAAAAAAAAAAAAAAAAAAAAAAGGGGGGTTTAAGTTTACATTTCCAAAGGGTAAAAGCGTACGGCCTGCGTACAATATTGACCTGGCCTGGAAAGAATGGAGGGAATGTGTCCCAATGTTGTCTTCCCTCATTTTATAAAGAAGTTTCATCGAATAAGCCTCTAGTAAAGGGCTGGTACGGGTATGAGAAGAGTTCCCATCCTCTTGGAGGAAAAGCATGATCAAACGAATATTACTAGATTTGTCAATAGACAACTTCCTATAAAAATGAAAATGTAAATTCCTAGAGAATGGACTTTAATGATAATAAAAATGATAATGGTAATAATAATGATGATGATGATGATATAATAATAATAATAATAATAATAATAATATAATAATAATAAATAATAATAATAATAATAATAAATAATAATAATATAATATAATAATAATATAATAATAATAATAATAATAATAATAATAATAATAATAATAACAATAATAATAATAATAATAATAATAGTAATAATAATAACAAATAATGATAATATAATATTGATAATGCATGATAATAATGATAATTATGATAATGATAATAATAATAATTTAAAAAAAAATAAAAAAAACATTCATGTAGAGCGCATTACACAGTTAAGTTAGGTTAAGTTAAGAGAAAACAGGTAACCGAGTTTTTTTATCTGTTTCAGTTATGGAATATTATATTTTGTATTAAGGAAATCCCGTCAAGTGATTGGTCAACATAGCATCACGTGACCAAACATAACATTGCTATGATGTTACCGATAAGAACAATGTATTCTACATTGACGTCATCCATGGCATAGTTCACTATACAATGGATTTTATTTTGTTGCCATGTTTTTTTCTCTTCTCTCATAAAGAAAATTTTACATAATTTATAACATTTTATATAAAATTACAAATGATCTTCATAATAGGTGTAGGCCTAAATAAATTTGTAAGTGAACTTTGACATTTCTATACTAGGTTACAAATACATTTTAATATAAAATATATTTGTAAATGAAGTTACAAATTTATAGACGAAAAATATTCACATCAACAATTTTATGGTTTCACATTTTAAACAAATCGCACATAAATTTACAGAATTTCCTCGACCAGCTTGCATATAAATTTCAAATTATCACTCTTCTTTTTCGCAATAATTTTTTTAAATTTCCTTCAGAAAGAAAAAAGAGTTATGACAAAAAGAAAGAAAAAGATATATGATAAAAGATGTTTTTTTTCTAAAGAGAAAGAGAACACCTACTGCCCCGCCCCCGCAACACTAAAACACACGATAACAAGTACAGCAGAATTAAAAAACAAAAAATGAACACACACACAAGACGAACAATCAAAAGAAATGAAAATAAAAACAAAGGAGAAAGGAAAAGCAAGGGTAGAGAAGAGATGACGTCATTATATGCGATCGATCAAGATGAACGTGCTATCAGTATTGATTCCTCGATGACAGAAATTATTATCATCATTATTATTATTATTATTATTATTTTCATGAAGGTTGGTTTGAAAAATATATAACAAATATAATCATGCAATATTTCAAGCCACTGGTGAAATTATGGATTCCTCGGTGACAGAAATGGCACTATTTTCTTCGGGGCTACGCCCCTGAAAAAACTAGTGCTATTCCTGCCACCTCAATCCATAATTTCAACTAGCGTCTCTAAGTTCATGGTATATTTGTTTTCGAATCCATCGTATTAATGTTTCTAAGAAAATAGGGGAGGCTATTCATTAAAAGCTGGGGCAGCATGGCAAATGAACGTTCACCATAAGGATCGCCGTTTTTGACAGAATATGACTGTATACAGTCTTACAATTTAGTCTTTATACAGTTTATGAATACATACGTATGCAGTCTTTAAATTTAGTATGAAGCTAGACCCAAAAAGACAAAACATTAGGCCCTACAAAAAGTTCGACTTAATGAAATTACGGTACATCAAACAAGTGGAATTATTACGCAAAAAAGTGTTAAGTGGTAAACCAAAAATGTTGCCTTACCTTTCTTTCCTGTTTTATTTTCCCCCGTTCTTAATTTTTTTATTTCGTTTTTTCTTCCTTTATTATTTTTATTATTTTTTGCTCAGCCCCCCGTTGGGGGGAGGGGGGGGGTGAACAATCCTTTTTTCTTCAACATCACCCCCTTCCCCCGTTGAGCAAAAAAAAAAAAACATTTTTACTTTTTTGTTCTTTTTTGCCAGGGGGGGGGGGCATAGAAACATGGGTAAAACACAGAAAAGGGTGTCTTTAAAATTCTAACACACCCCCTTTTGCTACGCCAATGGTGGTGGTCGTCTGAAGATTCATTTGAGAGCGAGCAAAAATCTTGAGATCTTTACAACATATTTGAGGTCGCATTGCAACCGACCAACTATTATTAGTGAAAATAACCAATCTTGTTCGGGTTTTAAGGCACCATCTCATCAAGCGACAGTGAGAAATATAGGTAAAACGGGGAATTTATTTGGAAAGAAAGGGGTCACTTAATGAAAGAAACAAGAGGGAACTTATCACATTTGAAAAAGCGCACTTATCAGATGTGACCAGAGGCATTCCTCACGTTTGAAAAGGGACATATTTTATTAGATTTGAAAAAAGGAATTTATCGGAAGGGGAAAGGATACTCATTAGAAAGGATAAGGGGCAGTTGACAGTAAAAGGGGGCACTTATCAAATGTGAATAAGGCCATTTATCAGGGGTTCAAAGGGGGCATTTCTTGGAAGTATAGGAAGAGTCGTTTTCAGGAGTACAAACTAATACTTTTGGGGAACTTTTTCAATATAGAGGGCATTGTGACCCTTTGTGCCCCCCCCCCCCCTCACCCAGGAGCGCCGCCTCTGGTCACATAACTCTAAAGCACTTACCTGTCGCGTATAAACTATACAAAATAGTTGTAGACCTATATCATGAATATAATTTATGTTGTTCAAGTCCATTACATCCATCTTTATACTTCTCAAAATCCATTAGTCTTCGGCGCATGATATTTACTTTCTTTATAATTATGGCAGGGCGAAATGCATGCAATTTTTATAAAGGCTTCCATTAACCACTTAATTGTAGCTAACCTTCAACAGTTGACCACCTTTTACCAAAGTGAATATCTTAAACAGTACATTATTTTGAAATGGTTAAAAAGAGTCACTTGGCTATCGTGAAAGTACATTTCCTGTCCACTCAAAAGTGGAAGTTGGAAATTTAATGAAAGATATATAATAATTTCAAGGATGAACACGATTGAACGATTACTTTGACAAAGTTTGAAGCCTGAAGTTTGTTTTTAAATCAAGTTTCATCATCGTCTTGACAATTAGACATTTTAAAGAAGTAGTTATGTTGGAGATAAGTGCAATTTCTTTTAATTTTGTCGCAAACACTGTCGTTGCACAAATCAGTAGAGTGACTATAATAGCATATAGAATATCTACATTAAGGAGAAAAAAATTAAGAGTGATGAAATACACGTATAGCACTAAATGCCACCGAACCCTATAAAACGGGGATGCTTGGATGTGATAACAGTAGAGAGACCAACCGCTTCAGTTGCCGATATTTACGAAAGCACGATCAGGTAAGCTCAAAGTTGCATTTTTTTTGTTGGATTGTCACTCATTTTTTTAATGCAGGAAATCTTGAAGTGTTTTTTAAATTTTCATCCACATTGAATTTTTAAAGAATATTTTGCCTCTCCAGAGCCAGAAGTATATAAACTCTGTGTTAGATAATATGAGTTAACGCCCTTGTGGCTCCTAACAGACGATTATTTCGTTTAGTTTAATACCACCATCACTATGCCTGTTAAATTTGTTGTTTTGGTTTGCTTGGGAAAAAAAGATGACTTTTTTTTGTCTTCGTATTCTTTTAAAAATTTCATCCCTCATCAGGTAGACGTACATTGTATTTTGCCGTTTGAAGATGGATTCCAAGTTCTATTCCATGCTTGTCCTTCTGATGTCGGTCATCATGGGTCTCTTGCAACAAACCAATCAACTATTGATCTCCAAAGAACTTCTGGTCCTCCAGAGTCAAATTCTTTCTCAACGGTTATGGCGTACGAATCAACCAGCCGCAAATCTGAGTCTAGCACCATCATACGATTGTCAGATGCTACTAGCAACGATGATGGTCCTACCGAATTTCCATTAAATATCACTGAAATCGAAGACCGTTCCGAAGAAACGCTACCAAAGGCTACATTTGGGTGGTCTTGGCGGGCAATGGAGTGGCCTTGGTGGATAGATTTGCAGTTGGTCTCTGCGATTCTAGGGATAGTGGGGAACCTACTGGTTATACTTGTGGTGTTCCGGAAGAATTCCTCAAGTCGCTCTACTGACATTTTGGTAGGAAATCTAGCAGTTGCAGATTTCCTATTATCCATTGCAATGATTCCCCTCCCAAGAGCTCAAACAATGCCATTAAGTGCAGCTGGACGCTTGTATTGTATATTCATTTATTCACAGACTATGAAATGGATGCTCATCACGGTGTCCTCGTATCAACTCGTCATCATATGTTTTGACCGCTTCTTTGCAGTTGTCTATCCTCTGACTTTCAATCGCATGGTCACTAAACGGCGGGTGTACATCTGTACATCTCTGGTGTGGTTGACGTTCATGACCGCGGGAAGCAGGGACATATTTATCTTTAAAGTTGATGACATCACTGGACGTTGCGTTCGTCAAAGGTTTTCCCCTGAAGGCGACATGGCCTTTGCCGCTTACTTCGTCTGTCTGCGCATAGGTGTACCCACTTTCTTGATCCTTTTGACTCAACTGTTGATCGCCAAGAAACTTCATCAAGAGGCCCAACATTTCTCCAAGATCTTAACCGAAGGATCCGTCACCGCCAAGCCATCAAACCACCTTACAGCCCGCACTCGCGTTCTCAAGATGATGCTCATTGTCATAATAGTGTTTATCATTTGCTGGGCTCCATCTCAGATTGCCTTCTTCTGTGCAAACATGGGTTTCATTGCAAGGAGCTACCTCGGGAGTCCACTACAACGTTCTCTCATAACAATGGCGTTCTTCAATTCATGCTTGAATCCTTTCATCTATACAGCCAGGAATCCACAGTTTCGTACCGCACTCAAAGGCATCTTCATCTGCTCTCGAGCAAGCCATGATCCTGTCTTTGAGCACAAATTAGTAGAGACGTCCTCTAGTGCACCTGTTACCGCACCTGTTAGTTTATCTTCTGTTTAGTGCAGATGGCAGTGCCAATCCCATTACCATCACTTTTGCAATATGATAACATTTTCCTTCTTTCAGTTTTACAATCATAAGCGTTTTAATAGTCATAATAATCACCTACGGAACCATTTTTTCAGGGGAGGGGTGGCATTGTTCATTTCCTCGCTTAGCCTCAAATATTTGGTGTGAGGGGAAGAAATGGATGCCAATTGAGAAAAGTTTTGAATTTCAGGGTGTTAATGATGTGCAAATGCACAAATCATTTTGGCGCCATCCTACTTACAAGAAAGTTTAATTAAAGTGAGTGACATTCATCAGCATAATACGAGACAGGCAGTTGAAGGTTTACTTTCTGTGCCAAAGTATAAAAAATGCTTTAAACATATAGCCCCCCCCCCCTCGCTTCTTCGATTATAGCATGGAATTAGTTGGACAGATCCCGGACAGATCATTGAGAATGGCAAGCTCTGTGAACACCGTTAAATACATGTTCAAACAATCTTGCATTATCGATTTCCAATAAGATAAAATGACAAGAGGAATTTTGTTTAGTGTCTGTTTTCTTAGCACTGAATGTAGGACGATATAATGCTTTTCAAACTTAAAGAATGATTTCATATAATTTATTATCAGTTATAAATACATTTGTATTTTTAATGTTATTTAAGAGTGTACATTCAATTGCTATACTAGATTACATGCATTATTGTTCACATTATCCAGTAATTTACTATCCTGTAATATTCGTTGTTGTTGTAAATATGTATATAACAATTGAACTCTCAAAGTATATGTTGCCTTTTTTTCAAGGTCTAATACTTACCCAAATATGCTAATAGTTACTTTTCATCGGATTTAAAAACTAATTGCCGTCTATGCTATAATGTTAAATTAAAATATTATATACCGAAGCTACGGTGACATTAAAAAAGAAATCTATTTTTAGAATTTTTTCTTCGTTTTCCAAAAGAGCATCAAAAATAATGTCCGAGTGTCGAAAACCAATTGAATATGTTGAGTATTGGCTGTATGACCTAGGGAACTCAGTGTTATACAGCGCGACCCCAAAAAACGAAAGCGAGAATTATCGATCTTTTTATCATAACTTAATCACAATTATAATTAATAAATGACACATATTTGTAAAGCTTAGATCCTCCTCTTTCATTTGATGCAACTCATATAATGAATATTTCACGCATGAGTGATTAAAAGCAATTTGAATGAAGGAAACCAAAAAGTCATTTGGCGGGCGGTATTTGAATTTCGAAGAAAAATTCACATTTCTAGAATATTCAGTTTCTGCCCTTTCATATGTCACCTCAATCAGGAAAAAATGAGCTAGGAATAACAATAACAATAACAAATAAGCAGAATTGACAAAAGACTTAACTCCGTTTCATTGACAATCATCCATGCATGAAGTCTTTCGTCTATGTCTGATCGTCAACGAAACGGAGTTAAGTCTTTTGTCAATTCCGTTTGTTGCTACGGCAGGCAGCCAGTGAAAACGAATTCGTTTAATCAAATTATGTCGTCAACAGGTGACGGAAGTGTTTCAATTGTTTTATACTTTGGTGAGTCAACTCTGTGTGGTCACAAGCTATCACACAGGGTGTGTGTTTGCGTGTGTGCGTGTGCGCGTGCGTGTGTGTTTGTAATATATAAGTGAATAACATTTACAATTGACATATTATGTTTAGGTACTTATACGTTTACTTTGTTGCTAAGTTATATTATACTGCAAATAAGTTTGTGCATGTTTATGTAAAAGCATCAATATTGAATACGTTTATTTTATTCAATTGTATGTCATGGTTTGTATTACACATTTGGAGAAATAAAACAAAATTGTTAAAAAAAAAAAAAAAAGTGTGTGTGTGTGTGTGTGTGTGTGTGTGAATGTGAACATGTGAACAGTGTGAAAGCATCATATATCGGATACACAGTAAGACTACGCTGTTGGATCACGGTGTAATTTCCTATGCGGACATAGTGTGGAACAATGATAAGAAAAGATGTGTTAGCACAGTGTTTCACCTATTCAACACGAACGTGTTTAAAATATATTCTGTAATCACAAAATGGTGCGTCCACACCGTGATTCGTTGTGTGACAGGAGTATTCCATACAATGTCACACTCTGAGTATAAAAGTGTGAACACGGTGTCTTCAAATATGGCCATATTCCAAATCTACTCTGGCCACACTGTGGTTTGTCCACACTGTGATTCGTAGTGTAGAAAGAATATGTTATAATATATCACAAAGTGAGCACACAAGGTTTACAAAGTATAATACACTATACACATAATTGCTTTTATATTGTATACACAGACAACAGTATGAAAATGTTCCATACTTATGCGATTATTTTGGTTACAGTGTGGTGCGCCCTCTGTGAGTCAAACCGTTCGGACTTTGCATCCATTAAATTTGTTTCACATCTTTCATGATTAGTGTATTAGACCTATACATTCATGTCAAGCACACCTCTTTTAATGTGCTATGCTAAAAATATATCAGCGTTGTAAAATGTAGAACATTACATCATTATTTTTCTTTTTCCTTCTAAATAACTTTTGTGTGTGTGTGTCTATATTTCATCTAATGAGAATATGTCGTTGTTGGTTTTATTGAAAAATTTATATGTAGGCTACCGGCGCCATGAAGGCGAGAACTGATAGAGATATGGAAAGGAAAAGAGAGGAAGAGAGTCAATTTAAAAAAAAAAAGATAAGGGGGCATGCACAACGAAGAAGACAATACTTTCAGAAGTCAGCCTTATTTTTGTAAACGCCCACATTATTTATTCATCACGTGTTGTTTCCATGGGCAACACATTCAAACAAGGAGACGCATTGTATAATATTTTGTTTCCTTAGAGCACTAAAAATACACTTTTCATTATCAAAATCACGACCAATGGATGAAATTATTGTCTGCATTTCTCACTTAGTATGAAAACAGCGCTAGATAGTGCACTGTTCCGCAATCTAGAACAGATACTCGTCGAAACTTGAGGGCATTATCACATGACAATTGTCTATTTTTTTTCTCTTTCTATATGTTTTCATAAACAAGTAATGTTTCAATTTATTGTATTTAGAGGTATATACAAAAGGTTGCTTAACAGGTTGTAGCCCCCTGACAATTTGAAAATCCAACATTCGGGTATTGAGGAAGTCTCTTCGTATAAATTTTTATATATATTATATATATATATATATATATTATATATATATATATATATATTGTGTATAGTGCCGATAAACCCTGACAAATAATATGTATGTGTTTGATAGTGTACATTTGCCTCATTATTAACGCCAGTTGCTGTGTCATAAAAAAAAGTATCAATTCATTTTTGCTTGCTTGTCATATATATTTTTTAAGAGGGTGGAAGGTGGAAAGTCAAAAAGTCATGACACTTTGCTAAGGAATGTTTGCCCGTCCGCCCATGGTGGTATAATGTTAATGATGTGAATATTAAGCCTTATATTTTATGCACATTGAACATGAGGTGATATTACCTTGATTTTATGAGTATGGAATGTTTTTCTTTTTGTTATTATTGTACGCAATAGAGTGAAATCGGTCTCGTGGACATTTTGTTTGAATTTTCGTATGATCTCCCGTTTTACCGTTTCTCTCTACCTCTCTCTCTCTCTCTATCTCTCACTCTCTCTCTCTCTCTCCCTCAATTTCTCCCACCTCCCTCTCTCTCTCTCTCTCTCCCCTCTCTCTCTCTGGCTTTCTCTTTCCGGAACCCAATATTTCCCTTTCTCAAATTCTCTGTTTATATTAGATTTAATGTTAGACAACCGTTATTAAAGAGATAGAAATGTCAAAACTTGCCCCCCAAAAGGGAATAGAGAAGGGAAAAGCATAAATTAAAACAAAGAAACAAAAAAGAGAGATAGAAACATGATTTATTTATGTTCATACATTTTTCTTGTTTTTGTTTTGTGTGTGTCTATAATGCATATAAAAAGCTCTAAGGTAGATTACGATGATTTGGTTCCTGTTTTAAAGAAAAAAACAATTTCATTAATTTAATTTAATATTCTGCCTATAACTCTCTAAAATTATCAGTAATAAATTCCTTGAATTTGTTCCTAATTTGTCACGGCAATATCACTAGTTTGAAGAAAAAAATTCGATGCTGCCATCCTATTCTTTGAAAACAAAATCGTCACCATTTTACCCTAACAATTTTGTTTATTCGGTCAATCACGAAAATATCAGAAGATTATGCTTAAAAATACTTTTGTTTATTGAGAGCTAAAGGGACATAATCTGTGCTTTGAACTTACCAGGAGTCATTTCATCTGAAGTATAATATCTTGCAATACCAGACAAAAGGAATATAGAAAAGAAGAAGAAGAAGAAGAAGAAGAAGAAGAAGAAGAAGAAGGAGGAAGAGGTGGAGGAGGAGAAGAAGAAGAAGAAGAAGAAGAAGAAGAGGAGGAGGAGGAGGAGGAGAGGAAGAAGAAGAAGAAGAAGAAGAAGAGGAAAGAAAAAGAAAAGAAGAAGAAAAAGAAGGAAGAAAAAGAAGAAAAAGAAAAGAAAAAGAAGAAGAAGAAGGAGAAGAAAGAAGAAGAAGAAGATAATAGAAAAATAATAATAAAAACATTACTTATAAACATAAAGATATATTAGAAGAAGAAGTCTCTAAGCGCCATAACACACACAATAAGACTGATATACAATACATCTTAAACAAGAAGAATGATTGAGCAGAAGAATAAGTAGAAGAAGGAAAAAGAAATATTAAGATGGAGAGAAGGAGGAGGATGAGGAGGATGTGAAGAACAACGAAGAAAGAGGAGAAGGAGGAGGAAAATAGGATAAGACGAAGAGGAAGAAAACGAGAAGAAGAAGAAGAAACAGAAGCAGAAAAAATGAAGAGAAAAAGAAAAGGTGAAGAATGAGCAGAAGAATAATTAGAAGAAGAAGAAATATGAATATGAGGAGGGGGGGGGGGGAAGGAGCAGAAGAAGGATGAGGAG